CTACTGAATATGCACCCTGAAAGCTCTTGAGCCACGGCAAGAAACCCTTCAGTCAACATGTGAGGAAACTTCGAGCTAGCATCACTCCCGGCACCATCTTGATCATCCTCACTGGGCATCACAGAGGCAAGAGAGTGGTCTTCCTGAAGCAGTTGGCCAATGGCTTGCTATTTGTGACTGGGCCTCTGAGCCTTAATCATGTTCCTATATAAAGAACACACCAGAAATTTGTCATTGCCACCTCTACAAAAATTGACATCAGCAAAGTGAAAATCCTCAAGAAGAAGCAGCTGCAGAAGCCCAGACACCAGAGGGCAAGATCTGTGACACTGAGAAAGAGAGATACCAGATTCCACGGCAGGGCAAGGTGGATCAGAAAGCAGTGGACTCACAGATTTTAGCAAAAATCAAAGCTGTTCTTCAGCTCCAGGGCTACCTGTGATCTGTTTTTGCTCTGACAAAAGGAATTTATCCTCACAAAGTAGTGTTCTGAATTTCTTACAAAGAACCTAATTAAATAACTGATACATTTTTTAAAAAGATGATGATAGGGGCTGAATTTTTGTGAACTTAGATGGAGAAACTACATGGGTAGAGACCTCCATTTTTTCAATCAGTTTGGAAATCAATTGTGATAATTGCCTTACCTTGGCTCACAGTTCCCATACCTCTTTCCTAGTTTCCTTTTGTTCTACATCCTCCAAAACTCAGATTCTGAGGAGATGGTTTGCAAGGCCATAAATGTCTTTTTAGAACCCAGTTTGTCAGAGTCATCCCTGCTACAGAGCATTGAGAAATTTAAAGAACCGACACTCTTGGTATTCCGGGGAGCCCCTTCATGTAGGAGGTCTTGAGGGGGTGCAACCTTATCATAATTATGCACCACAGAGGCCCCGTGCTCTATTTTTCTCCTTTTTTCTATGCTAGCATCCGCATTTGAGAGTGAGGAAGGCAGAGGTCTTAGAAGGGTCTCATGTGGAGACTCATATTTGTGCAGAACTGCCCTTGAAGTTTAGTAATATCATCTGAAACTGACCTTTTCAAATTTCTTAGACTCTTCTGAGTCTGATTGCAATGGTTCCAAAGCAAGAAAATTAAACTACAAAGAGACCATACATGAAGAGGAACTGCCTCCCCATTTTGGTGAACACAATGCAGTGTTCTCATAACTTGTTTCCAAACTTTTAAGTTTAAAGCAGTCTTTCCCTTAAGCTGAAATCAATAACAATGCCTTTTATAATGGAAAATAATTCCATGAAACTCTGGTTTCACTTTTATACCTGCTCCTTTAAGTAATATCCGAATAAGATTGACATATTCATTTTTTACTAAAGTGGAGTTTCCCATTACTCTGAGCTTTTCCTGCTGTTCTCGCCTGCTCTGGGCATACTCTTCCCATGTGGTCAGGCCTCTCTTAACTCACTTCTGGTCATCTTCTGTACCCCACATTGGGCGCCACTTCTTATATGTTATGAGTCGGTGCCAAAAAGAATGGCGAGAAGACCCAATGAATATAGCCTCAGAGGTCTCACCGAGATTAGTCTCTCTCCACGTGTGTTGTATGTTACTGGTCGGTGCTGACGAGAAGACCTGATGAATGGAGCTTCAGAGGTCTCACTGAGATTAGTCTCTCTCCAAGTGAGCCCAGAGCCTCAGAAGCATCTCACATTTATTGAGGAGTAAAGGCAGACTAAAGAATGTGCATAATTACCTAAGTGAGTACAAACTACTATCTCTATTAATGTCCACCATTTGCCTAACACTAGGTTCACACAAATGCTAGCCGATAACATCCCAAGCAAGGGATCAAAGGACAGGGCACCTGCAGGAGAAGCTGTTATCTGCCGCCTTGAATCCCAGCTTTCTGGGAATTTGCAAACAGACAGCAACCCTCCTCGGGCTCAGTCCAGTGTTCCCTGCTCTCTTGGGGCATCAGGCTTTTGTCTCAAATCTATATCTCTACAAAGTGAGCCCAGAGCCTCAGAAGCATCTCACTTTTATTGAGGGCTCAAGGCAGGCTAAGAAATGTGCATAATTACTTTAGTGAACATGAACTACTATCTCTATCGACTTCCATCATTTGTCTAACACTAGGTTCACACAAATGCTAGCAGATAACATCCCAAGCAAGTGATCAAAGAACAGGGCACCAGCTGGAGAAGCTGTTATCTCCAGCCTTGAATCCCAGCTTGCCAGGATTTACAAGTGAGAGACAGTAGCTCTCCCTGGGCTCTGTCTATTACTCCCTGCTCCCTTGGGACATTAGGGGTTTGTTTCATATCTACATTTCTATAGAGGAAAGCTATAGGGACATGTTTTCAGAGTCAACAAAGGCTCTTAAGGGATTTCTGGTCATTTGACATTAACAGAACTTTTAAGGGTTCAAAAATTTC